TCTCTAAAAGTATGAACTTGAAAAACTGTGATGAATAAAAGACTGGTAGCAAACTCTTTGTTATTTATATCTATTTTAGCTTTTTGTAAGATAAGTCCCTGACTTTTATAAATAGTGATAGCTCATGCGAGACAAATAAAAACTTGTAAATGTAAATATAATATTTCATTTTTACTCTTTCAAGTGCATCATACTGATGCAATCAGGATAACTTTTATACCATTTAAAGCAGTAATAATAAGAACTTGATAATTATCAAAGGTAATAAAAATTGCCATTAGAAGATAAGGTGGTTTTTGATTTTTAAGCAGAATATCTTGAACTATTCCTATTGAGTCATTGACAAATTCAACTTTTGTCTAAAGATTTATCATTAATATTATACGTGCATCTCTAGCTAATAATAATTATGTTTCAAGTCCTTTAACTATGTTAGAATTGGTAATTTTAGTCTTATGTCTACTAGTATTTATAGTATTAATCTTAGCAATGGGATAATTTAAGGATCTGAGTTTGTCTACATTAACTGTATTAATATTAGCCCATCTTAGTAAAATAGATGTAGCATTTGAGAATTGATCACATTCTATCTTAGACAGCTTCTCTTTAAATCTTAAGAAATGTTTTCTCTAATCTTCTAGAATGGATTCTCTGACTCATAATTACAAGAGGATATCTCTAAAGATTTGTTGTTCTTTAGAGTCTTCAAATTAATATTGAATTATATTAAGTTTATACACTTCTTAAAATTATTTATAAATTGCAAGACCATTACTTGACAATAAATCTCGTAAAGTACTAATATATATAAGAAGGTCAAATATAAGTGGTAACTGACTGAAGTCACTAAATAGTATGATTAATTAATTATTAAAAAGCTCATTATTATTTTTAAAGAAAGCTTGATGTAATTTTATATTAATCAAGATAAGCATTTTATATTTAATTATACATTTTTCGTTAATGATAATGTATTTTATGTTCTCTAACCTTTATTGTAATTGTTTTAATTGCTTACTTTCTATGTTAAAGTTATTATTACCATTTGTAATTATTGATATGTCTATAAAATCATCATTTTCTTTTATTTTATCATTATTCTGATTATTATTAGAGGCTTGTTACAAAAATTTATTAATATTTGTAAAGTCAAAATCATCATTATATTTCCTTATATTATTAAGCCAGTCATAATTTTGATCTATATTATAAGATCTTAAAACAGTTGAATTATTAATTATTTGAACCTATTTTTATGAATATCATCTAGTTAAATCTGAATTCATCTTCTTAATCATTATCAAGTTCTTCTTCTAGTTTTTCCTCATCAGTTATATCATGATTTTTGTTATCTATATATGATCTAATTAAGTCATCTAAGTTATTATTAATCTCTTCAATATGTTAATTATATAATATTGATCATGAAATGGTGTCATTTTTGGTCAACTGTTAAAGATTCCTGTGATGAACATGAAGGATAACCTTTACTTGATAGAACTTTTTTACTAGGGACTTTTATTTAGTGATAAAGGTCATGACTAGATTCTTATTATATTTTCTTTCTAGCATTTCTTTCAGCAACCTCTAATAAACTTATGGGATAAGTATAACTAAAATAATGAAAATTCTTTAAATTCAATAGGTTTATCCCAGTATAATTTCAAAGGTGATTGCATTATTTATTCTGCATTATCACTTTCTTTTATATTACCTGTCTCTTAAAGCTATTGTGATGCTTCCTTATTGATATTTAAAGAAATAAATATTTAACTCAAATGCTAGAGTAGAATTATCATAAGAAGATGACAGATCTTCTAAGCAAAAATATCATGCTTTGTAATGCTATAGAGGAGGAGCTTCTGAGTTGAGATAATACACAGTTCTTCTGAATTACTAGTATTAAGAATCTGATTAAATATTTCTGAAAAAGCTTTTGATTTAGATTCTGCCTTATTAGCATAATTTAAAACATATTGTAAAGTTACATAAATGCTTAAGATTAGTTTCAGGTTAACATTCACTCTTTACTCTTACAGTTGAATCCTACTATACAAGTTTATTAGCAGGTCATTTCTTTCTATTATGAGCTCAGATTCATTATATTCATCATTACGTACAAAAGTATTTTCAGAATTATCTTTAGAATAACTAAACTTACAGGTTTGCTATATTTTTTGATTAGTATAAAAATAATATGATAGACTGCAGTTCATATTTTTATAATTTATTTATTAGTTTAATATAATTCTGTAAGTCATTGTTTAGCTTGTTATAATGCTTTTAATATAGATGTTTTTCAGGAAAAGGAACATTTAATTTCTTATCATAGTAACTAAAGTTTTAAAGTATTGTATTACAATTTTTATTACATTTTCATCTTCTTTCATTTTATTCTAATTAATTAAAGGTCTATTTTATATCTGTCTGATGCTATATACATGGATACTTTCATAATATTACCACTCATATCTATACTACTAGTCTTCTAAATCTCAATAATTTACTAGTATTTTATTAAAAAAGATTTCAAAACATTTATTAAAAAATATAGCAGCGATATTCAAATTTTTGATAAGATTCTTATGACAAAGTCTTGCAGATTTAACTTCTTCTAAATTTTCAATTGGTAGTATTAGATAATGTAGTTTAAGTCAATGAAGATCAGCTGAACTAAATGTAAAAAATATTATTCCTTATGAATCCAGTTACTTGATCATAACTATTAGCTTATAATGTCATGTTTTTCAAAATTATCAAGATCCTTATAAACTTTCACTAAATTGCATTATCTGGTCAACCATATGTTTGTTACCTCCTGTGATCTTTTCTTAAATATCTGTAATGTTAAGTTCACCATCATTTAAATTTTATTTGATATATATTCTTTCTTTCTATAATGCTTGTTATCATATTTAGAAATTTAGTGCAAAATATCACCAATAGGTATAACATAAAAATCTTCTATTTTTATATAAAAGAAGATGCCAGAAGTATTCTGTCAGTTTAACATCTTTAATGCATTCTAATCTATAAAGATTTGCATCACTAGTCAGATATAGTGTTAAAAATGTCATAATGATATAACCTGAAGTTTAGAATTTATTTATAGGATTATTATCAATCTAGAACCATATCACTAGAGTATTTTCAATTTGTATATAATTTAGAGTCTTATTAATTACAACATTTTCATGACTAGATGGTAAAAAAAAAAAACAAATCATTTATTTTTATTTTTATTTTTATTTTCATCATCATTTAAATTCTTATCAATTTGATTATTTTGAATTTGTGAAAGTTATTCAATAATAGAATGATTCTTTAATAATGATCAAATGATTTTATCATCAATAAAAATGTTAGAATAGTATTAATTATTAGCTTTTAACTAATATAATATGCAAGTAACTTTAGTCTAATGAATGATAAAATCTTGAAATAATAATAAATCACTCAATGATTGGCATTGCATAATAAGCATTTCTAATAATGATGGATAATGAGAAAGTCATATTGTGAAGACTTGTACGTCTTGAGGAAAATTTATAACATTTTCTCTATATTTATATTACTCACGTATACAGATATTATAATAAAAACTTTTGCTATCAATATTTCTTTAATTTCTGTGAAGTTCTGAAGCTTTTCAGAAATATCATCTGGGTTTATATTATTGTCTGCTAAAAATTTATTGTAAGTATTTTCTTTGTAGTAGTGACGACATTTTCCTTTTATAAGTACTATAAATAAACTGCACTCATTACTTACAGGATAAATAACATATTAGAACTTATTTATCTTAGTTCAAAATTTCTCTAAAAGTTCTCAAGCTTGCTTATTAAGGTCAGTTGCTAAAGATTTGACATTTATGTTTTATTGGTTAATTCTTTCATATCTGTTTTTTAAACATTTATTGTATTGTTCTTTATTTTCTATTTCAGTTTTTTCTCTTTTATTCACATTTTAGGTTAAGTCATACTTCATGTTCCTTAACAGTTTTGAGTTCTCTTTCTTTCTGCTTTTATTAATATTTTAGGTTAAGATGTGCTTCATGTTCCTCAGCAGTTTCAAGTTCTCTTTCTTTCTGCTTTCTTTAATAGTTCAGGTTAAGACATACTTTACGTTGCTCAGTAATTTCTATTGCTTTGTTTCTCATTTTTTTTGACGATCTAAGTTAAGACATATTCATATTGCTTGGTAGTTTCCATTGCTCTTTTATTGCATTTTCTTTAGCGATCCTTATCAAGTTGAGTTTCATATTTCTCTGTAACTTCATTTGCTTTTCTTACATTTTCTTTCCTTTGCTTTTTCAAAGTATATTACAATCACTAACTGATTCATTACTCATTTTGTAGTAATAATAAAACAAGGCATTGGAGTTGATTTATCAAAGTTGAATAAAATGTAAAATGCTTCATTTTATATTGAGAATCATAAAGTTTAATAGTAAAGTTTATTAAAGCTTATTTAGTTTAATACATTACATTTTAATAGTTAAACTCTGTTATGCTATTTAGACTCTTATTGCCTTTATACAGTTTCTTTTTAAATTCGGAAATACTATTGAACATTTAAAAATTTATCATACAATTGTTTACATAGAATATTCGTAATATTAATTATTTAGCAATTATTTTATTTTATTTTATTTTATTAATTATTGTCTCCGGAATACAAAAAGCAATGCATTCGATTTTTTTTTGATCTATAAACAATTATTACTTACTTAGTCTTAGGTTCGAACTTATTAGATGATTATCAGTGATAGCAGTGAAATTAGTGAAAATGATGATCACAGTTTTCATGGTGATCATTGGTGACATTAGTTGGCGCAGTTATTTAGTGGCGCATATAGATTATCACTAACAACGCTACAAGAAGATTTATTGTATGATTAACAAAGCAATTTACACGCATAAAGTCAAACAATTTTCGCTTAAGCAATTTAATGGTATATTTATTAGACACTTTTTAATGATAAGTGCTCATCAAATACTTTATAATTCACCGCAATACTTATCAAAATCTATGCATAATGCATACTGCACTATTTTATTAATCCAAACGTCAAATTTTTTGCCATCCCCCTTATTTTCGTAAGGCTGTTTTGTTTTAAAATTTCCAAATTTATCCTTTGGCACTACAAAGTAAATGTTAATATCAGAATCTTCATCTAAGACTTCCTTAATTGCTCTTAGCCCATCTTGTTTGACACCATGTCTCCTAGAAACGGTGATTTGAAACATCTTATTCGGATAAACATAACTATCAATACTTTCAAATGTATCAGAATCTGGCCGATAATAATTTTTTTGTCCTTGCTGTATATCACCTGTAATCTCATCAATAGACCAAAAAAAAATTTCTTTTAAATCTGATTCAAATTCTTCAAATTCTTCAGGTTCTGCTCCCCTTTCTGTTAGTTTGCGTACTAAAAATTTTCCTCCCCAACGAAGAATTTCATGTGACAACAATTCAAATAGCTGTCCTTGAAGAGCGCTCATTTCCTTTATATTCCTTGCACTGTCAATAAAAGTGCGGAGTTTCTCCTTGTTATGTTTTTTTAAGTGATCCAAACATTTACTTGCCGCATATTTGGATGCAAAAAGGCAGAAGGCATCGGTATATGGATCTTTTGTTTCCTCAGAATTGGTGTGTATATGAATTATCTTGTGAGAAAATTCATGGCCAATGAAGAGTTTGGCTTGATAATCTAGAATATTTTGATCAAATGATTCAGATGCAGAAACAATCATTTTATAAATTTTTTTATAGCTCATATCATTATCGAAAATCCATCTTGGAACCCCACCACATAATCTAAATTTCTTTTTGATTGTTTCTTCAGAAATTTTGACTTTATATAGTTTGTCCCAACATTTAAGTAACTCTTCTTCATTCCAAGTTTGCATGTATAGTGTTTTGCATTTTTGTTTGTCAAAATCGCCAATGATATCTCTTTTATGCGAAGACACCATTATAAACTTCCCTGTAGTCCAATCATGTCAATTATGCACCAAGTATTCTTACCTTGTGCAAGAAGTAGATACTCTTTTTTACTATCCACTGTGAAAGATTCACCCCGAAGATTAATATATAGTGTGCAATCTTTACAGTCGAAAATAACTTTGTTTCCTTTTTTAAGAAGCTCCACTAACATTAATCTTCCAAAATATATCTTGCCGATTCCTGGATTTCCGGTGATTAAAAATCGATTGTGGGATTCATTATTGAGTATTAAGTTACGATAATAGTTATAGCACTTTCGATTATATATCGCTATTTTATCAACTTCTCCTGGCAATGGCAATGGTGGCACATTGAACGCTTGTTGATTTGTGTCGATAGAATCTAAGTTTTCGATAAGGAGTTTGATCATATTCTTATCTAGAAGCAGTATAAATCGAGTTAAGATTTTGTCATTCTTTACAAAAGTCAATGTTAAATAATAGATACTTTTCTCTTGGAAGTCCATTAATTTGTCTTTCTTTACATTATCTTCGTCCGAATATTCCAGTTTTCTCTTTCCTGATCAAAAAAAATAAGATGTGAGATAACGCGAAATTCTTGCTCGGGAGGTAAACACTTACCAGCGGTGGCGGGCGGTGGGAATTGCACGAGGATGTGAACTCTATTTTCTGGAACGACTGAAAATTCTTCTATAAACTTCTTAGTTGATGATAACTTTTTACCTCCGAACTTCTCAATGTCAGTTTCGGTATAAGACCTTACAAGTGTTGTAAGTTCTTCCCACTTTGGCGCATTTTCTTCATAAAGATCTTCAATCTTCCATAGCGTCAGACTAAAGACATCATCCTTAGTGTTCTTCATAACCTCAAATATCATGTGTAATGGTGAGATCTTTTTTATTCAGAGGTTTGCCATTAATCAAGTTTACTTCGGCAATGTCAACCAGGGAAGGATTAGGAAGAGGGTGAGTTAGAGCAACAAAAAATAACGACATTTCAACAATATATCTGAAAGAACGAAAATCGAGGGTTAAAAACAAGGTTAAAGAGAATAAAGTTTTCGGTAAAAACATCCAGTAGGGATGGTATTTAGTTGGTTAGCTGGTTTCAGTTTGAAAACTCCTATTTACGGCTAATCACAATTTTTTAAACGGTAAACCGTAACGGTAAAATGTAACAATAAATATATATTTTTTTAAAAAAAAATTTTATATACCGGTACATGACAAAATAAAATTTTTTTTTATATTTTTTTTTTTTTTGAATTTTTTTAATTACTTTAATTATAAGTTATTGTGCTTTGCAACGATTAATATCAAAATTATTTATCAACGCAAGCACAATAACGATACGATATTATCGTGTGATTTTATGATGTTGACTTAAAATTATGAAGAGAAGTTCATTATCATTCTCTTTCTCGTCAT